AATATTGTCCTCAAAATATTGTGGCTGAGACATGAGCCGATTAAACGTAGAAATAGGAAACCTAGAAATATAGTAAAAACGCTAAATAGTACTCCAGCGTCGCGACATGCAGACGTTGGTACGAGTAGGTTAGTCTACAAACGTCGCCTAAAGTAATTGATTTTACCCGGCAGAACGTAAGAAGGAACTCCGCTTTTCAGTTGTCTCAGGCGATTGATTTTTGACAAACAATGACCTTTCAGAGGTCAAATTGCTGTCAAGAATATGAATTGGCTGCTTCGCAGCAATGAAACAATGTGTAACAGGAAATTCAGTTACAGACGAATAAAATGTTATCTTAATTACAATATATTACGCTTATATTGTCAACTTAAGATACAAAATTAAGAACTCAATAGTACCAAAAAAGACATCACAAACGCTACAAACACCGGAGCGGCTAGGGGATTCACTCCCACAACCCCAACCAGGGCCAGTCGCAGCCCCTGGCCCCCAGCGTATGGCTCGGGCCTTCCATCCCTTCGTTGCGCCACTGATTCTTTGTAGTTCCGCATTTACAATTTTTCCACCCCACTCCCCGATGGGAACCTCTCTGCACCCCTGAATACATGAAACAGGGAATGAACTATTAAATACATTTACTGCAAACGACTTGTGCACATGTCTCTTAAATGTAATAAAATCAAACAGAGTAGGCATTAAAGGGGGGTTTTTTCCACATGCGTGGAAGTACGACTACAAGACATTACTTTTTTGTTTAAAGTTCCATTCATGTGTTTTCTGTTTATTTAGCCCTACATCAAAAACTATATTAAGCCACTATTTCAAAAAGTGTACGCTGTTGGTTGTGAATTGGCCATTGAAAAATAAGGTGGGTAGCATTTTTAATAGGGGATAACAATCACAAAAGAAAAATTGTAAATGGCTATAGTCCTGTTCTTATGTGAATTTTCTCAATTCTCAGGTGTTCGTGTAATATTACAGTCAACGTACCTTGAGTTTTATATATATATATAAAAAAAAAATAATAATAATAGTGTATTGCCCAAGTACATTATTGCTATCGTTGCCGTTGTTGCTATATTAGTGTCATCATTATTGCTATCGTTATTTTCAAACACCTTTACAAATTTCGTTATTTTTTATTGTTGAATTGATTTAATAAAAAACACACCATGATTTTTAATAAGGGTAGGCTAATGTCATGCATGCTACAGGATTTATTATGTAAATAATTACTGAATTATTAGAGTATTAGATGCTGTATACAAAACAATTATTAAAAAATTGTAGATTCTCATTATATATTTTTTTTTTTGCATTTGAATTGTGATTTTGTTTTAAAAACATCACCTGTTTTTGTTTGATTTAAAGTTCAAGAAAATAATATTATTATTACAATTTATCACAATTATAAACAATCATGCATTCATTAAAAATAATTGATATGATAATAGAATTATTCATAACTTGTAAATTGTCACTTACATTTTTTGAAGACTAGTAAAACGACTGAATACACCTTGGTTTAGTTCAGTTATTTGGTTATCTTGCAAGTACCTTCAAAAAAAAAGAAAAAAATAAACAATATTTAATTAAGCAAAAGTAAACTATAAATTAATAATGTTGCCAGTTGTATGTTGCCTTTAATTGGCGATGTGTTTTAATCCTGTTTCACCTGATTTTTTTTGTAATAAACTCCACTCATTATGCCTGAGAACAGTATTTATTCTATGTAGAGCATTAGTACCATGTATATAGTCTGTATAGTGAAAAGTGAAATTATGTTGGTAATAATATTATTACAACTAGGTATACTCCCTAGTGAGCATAGAAGGTTGCACTTTGTGCTGGTTTGCCGTTGTTATCCATTGATCAGAGGTAATAACGATCAGCGCCTTTGATCATTGATTTGGTTTGGAACTGGCGCTTTACAAAAATAAATAAATAAAAAAATAAAAAATATTAATATTAGTATTATGTCCAAGTCCATTATTGCTATCGTTACAATTGTTGCTATGTGTCATCATTATTGCTATCGTTATTACAATCACCTTTAATTAATACCGATATGGTTATTGTTATTGTTGAATTGATTTAATTAAAAAAAAACACCATGATTTTTAATCATCATTACACATTATTAAATATTGTTTGTAACCGATAATTGAGCTGTAATCAGTATGTAACCAACAATATGATGCTCCTTTTACATGCATATAAATTCATTGCGATTAATATTTTACGTGAAATAGGTATTGTGTGAACAGAATAAATGGCGTGAAATTAATTATTTGTAAAGTTAAACATTCTTTGTATGGAATCAATCGTCATTACGCCGATAATAGATATGATTTTCACAACCTTTTTTATTTAATACTCGTCATGTGGTCGATCACGATATTCATTTCGAATGATATTCGATAACTCATGAGGTGTATATTGATGTTTGAGGTGACCCCGTTTCTATTTTCCACATTTAGAAAATATTTAGATGGTTTTTCACCGCTGTCTCTTATACACATCTGGATGTGTATAAGAGACAGCCCATTAATTCACCTCGTGTTATTTCCTAGCAGATTGATTTGATATTTGCTAATAAATGTTCATCTGACTCTTTTTTTTCTATCCCGTATTCATGTGCCTCACCTCTTGCATGACTTTTTAAATATTACCCCATCTGACGTTATCTCTGCATCTTAAAAATCTTAGTAACTCTAAATCTCCAGGTCCTGACAATCTTCGTAACTTTGTTATTAAGCTGTTTGTTTATTCGTGTGCTCCTTTCCAGGCTAATTTTTTTACTCTTTCCTTTAATACTGTTGTGCAGTCTAATTTTTCCAACTTTCAGTTTGGTTTTTGTTTTCAACGATCTACATCTGATTCTCTTAATTATATTTTTCATCTGCTATTTAAATACAGTGACGCCAAACTTTGTACTCGATTACCCGAGCAGCTTAGCTCAGTCGGCTAATCTGGTGGTAGCCACTGTGTGTGCGCTGAACCGTGGAGATCTCTAGATCCCCGGTTCAATTCCCATCGCTGCCTTTCCTTGTGTTTCAGCTTGAGGGCTGAAATACAAGTTACAATAGCGCACCGTCTTTTGGATGAGACGTTTAAGCCGTTGGTCCCGTGTGCATTTATGGCCCATGTGCACATTAAAGAATGAAGTACACTCTTCGGAAAAGAGTAGGGGATTGTCTCCCGGTGTACTGTTCAATCAGCACCAGAAGGACCCCACTAGAAATAAGTCTTCTTCTAGACTTTCGTGGGCTATCCTTGGTGTTTACACCGAATAAATCCATTCCATTCCCTTGTTTGTTTGTTTATTAGATTTTTTTCCACACATGCATATACATAACAATCAATAAATCAAATTAGTCATTATACAAAATTAGGCAATATGAGGTATATGCAAACAATATTACAAGATAATGTAATAAAACCAAAAGTTCCACTGATTAATCTCAGATAAGATAGCATAATACACATTCCAAGCATCGAAACGCACGCCTCCATACAGAAACCCAGGGACACAACACCAATCATGCCATCATCAGGACAATTCCTGATGACGACACAAGCAGCACCGAAACACCGAATCCCCACACGATCGTGCCCACCCCAGCACCTGGAGTATGCATTACACCATCTGATGTGATAATAGATGATAATATAAAGGATTAGAGTATAAGAGTGCAACATATTAAGAAAACATGTTAAAAATTTAATATAAAGTATTGCCTAAAGATTTGGCTATAATTTGATAAACTAAAGAAAATGCTTAATTTACATTAAATTACATTAATTACATTAGATGGTGATGCAAGTGTGCATGGACTTTTTAATATACTGTAAGTTCGCAGAACTTAAGTCAAAAACCCTAATTAAAATCTAATTAACTATGACATTATGGTCAGAGTGACTTTAATAATATTATTTTAATAAAATCATTATCATTATTAATATTAATATTAGGTGTAATTTTCCTCTACCTGACATACAAATGTACTGAATATTCAGTATGTGTGAAAACAACTGCGAAAAAAAATCGCAATTTGGCATCAATTTTGTGGTAAAATTTTCTCTAAAAAACCTTGTTTAACTTGGTAGAAATTATTATTCTTCTTTACTTAATTGAATTTGGATACAATTTTTAAAACGTGTCAACAAGTAGGACAAAATAGATCACAAGAAAATCAAATTTGCAAAGGTGAAATAAGCCTGTTCCTTGGTGATCCGCCTTGTTCGTTCTCCTCAAGTAGTCATATTAAAATCATATGTTACAATTTCCAACCAAGTTCTATATATAGACTTGCATTGTACTTTAATGATTTTTACAATTAAATAACAACTGCTGTAGAAACACGAGGAAAGCCATGCAAAAGTATTATAATTATTAATATTATTTATAGGTCTGATATTATTTTTTTAGTATAACTTTTCTTATTATTTATTTTTATTTTATTTCAGATTGGCAACACCCAATATGTTTTTCGATGAACGTAGCACCTTACAAAAACTGACAAAAGTCAACTATTCATTTCACAACACAGGGAGCACCCAACTATTTTAACCTACCATCTTGAATAAATCAATGTCGTTAATTTATTTACAGTCATTGTGCCAGTGTGCTAAAAAGTAATGAAACTATTTTTGTATGCATGATTAAATATTTTTTTGAGTTTGTTAAACTAATAAATATTTCGAAAATTATAAAAGAAAAGGAATATATGATATAAGGCTTTAACAGATTTATGTTATGTTTGGCGTTATTCGAATACAATTGTGTAAATTTTCAATTCAATTGAATTCTACCCTCGGATAGAACTATTTATTTATTTAGGGCTATATTTTTTTCCTAGGCCAGGTTGATTTTGTTCCGAGTTGGTTTTGGGGCGAAGTGTCGTCTGGGCCGAGTTAGGTTTGGTCCGAGTTGGTTTGAGCCGAATTGATTTGGGCCGAATTGATTTGGGCCGATTTGGTTTTGGGCTGAAGTGACCAGCATTCGAATGTACAGTCCAAGAGTATAGACAATTATTTGAACATGACTGTTTTTGGGGGGAGGGGAGAGGTGGGAAGGTAACAACCTTGCCTGTCAGGGATCCATGGGGCTTTGCTCTAATATTTTCAGACGTAACTGCTTTTTGATGCCTTTGTAGTCTCAACTCATTTTCAGGGCAAAATCTGTAGCTCTTGTTCCATTTCAAGAAGGAATCAATTACACATTGGACCCATGTTGATTTCATCTAAATTTTAATTTGCAGAACGTAGTTAATTAGTTAACTTTATAATATATCCTATCATTAATTCATCAAATACATTATAATAAATAACGTATTCACAAGTTTGTATTGCTTAATTTTAAAATTGCAGATACTGAAGCAAAGGCTGCTATTTGGCCGATTCCACCTACAGTATATGTTGAAAAGAAGATAATCAAGTTTTCATGTACAAGGTAATTTATGATTGAAAAATGATTAATGCTGTAATTGAAAAATGTTTAATTCCCTGAACGTTTCACATCCAAATCCCTGTGCCAAAATATAAATGGTCCCGAGCAAAATTTTTTTCTCATTACCATCCACTTCCTTAGCCCCATCACAAGCACCTTGTGTTTATGTTTGTCTTTTTAAAGTCAGGCTTCGGAGGAAAAAGAATTTTTGATATGTTGTAGAACTGATTTTTCTAAGACAAAAAAAAAGTTGTTTGACGTAAAACTGGGGAACGGTGAATGAAATAAAGATTTTTGAATATTTTACTGGGGACAGAAAAAAGTTGTTTGATGTAAAACTGGGGAACGGTGAATGAAATACAGATTTCTGAATATTTTATTGGGGTAAAATGGGGCATAACCGCCTTTTTTGCACCTTTTTTCCCCAGTTTTAAAATCAGTTCTACAACACATCAACAATTTTTTTCCTCCGGAGTCTAAGTTTTAAAGGGGTTGTCACTTTAAAAGACTGATGTATTCACTAATTGGCAATCCATGGCCCTTGTGCCTAAATAAATAACAAAGTAAATAAATTTTAACTTCCATACCTCATGGTTAAGACCACTAATCCCACAACCAATGGACTTGTTGATATATCCTGGCAGATTGTGCAATTATTTGTTTCTAAATGTTCTTTTTCACACCTTAAATTCTTAGGTCATTGTTAGCATGTCACAAAAATATTACTGGTGCACTGTCATAAATAGCCCCCTCGGCCACCACAGGTTAGAAATTGTTGGTGCGCTGCCATCGGTAGCCCATTCACCCACCACTGATCCCAGAAGTGATTGAGTCACACAAACTGTTTAGTGCACTACCATAGGGAGCCCATTCAGTCACTGCTTGTCCCAAAAATTGAGCCACACTATGTGTAATTATACTCATAGGATATCAAATGACAGCAGTCTCT